GCCATTTAAGGAGATAATTGCTAAAAATAGCATTGCCTGCAATGGGGCAAACATTTAGTACTTTATATTCTAATAAGTTTCAGAATATGTCAAAAATGGTTTTCAAAGAAGGAATACGACGTCAAAAACGCTTCACTAATGTTGTGATATTTACAAATAGCTCAGTTTTCATGTTATAGCCTGTTTCTTATTTGTAGTCAAAATACGGGTAGGTACAGAATAAAACTCGCCTTGGTGTGTATTTTCTAGTTTTGTCCATAATTTTTCTCACAGGCTTGTTATACAGACGTAAGCCTAACTTTTGGTGGTACTTATTAGATCATGACACATCACGTTTAGCAGAAATTTTCGGATTTAACCCTCCCCCTTTTCTGTAAAAATTGCTCAAAGGGTCCCTTTCATAAGCGGAACGTTTTCACATCATTCAAAACATGACCCGGACCATTCCTATGACTAATATAGACCACCAGAAGCTGTATTTTATTAAAACTGACCAAACATATGCACATGTATCCGATTTCCAAGACTATAGTCCGTTTCAAATAAGTGTTTTCATTTTATATTGAACTCGTCCGAATTTTTAATTTGGTTTTCGGTGCAGGGTCATTCAAATTAAGTTCTTTGTTGATCAATATCAGAAGCACATGATAACTTCGAAAAGTCAATACTAATAAAGAGACACATTATTACACCTGTAACAAACAGTACCGTAATGTCTATAAAAAACAGTGTATTTTTTTATAAGTTTTTCAACAGGGGTAGGGTCCAGAAATGAATTCCTGTGTTTTCTACAGCTTTCGATGAGGTCTTTTGCATGGTGGTATGAAGTCAAGTAATATTCACGTAACTAATGCGGCAAAAAATATCAGATTTCAGAAATGGTTTATTACCGTATAGGTTACAATGTACTAAATAAAGTTACATGGGCGCAGCCATTCGTGAAGGGAACATGACATTAGAGATGAAAAATGCTGGCTATCTGTGATTGGTTGTTATATCATTTATATATTTTTCTCCTGGAAAGCGTTATGAATAAAGTTTCATGCAAGCACAAATTTGTCCTCAAATTTATATGATTATGGGCCGGAAATGCTTTTTTATTTTGATCACAATTGCGGAAAATTTTCTGCTAAATAATAAGGTATGATAAAAGACCCAAAAATTCACCAAGAAAAGCCATGGGACCATATATATTTAAGTGCGGCAAAATCACAAATAGATCTCGCGCTCAAATTAGACAATAGCAGTTTTTCCATAAATAGTTTATTAAAAACGCCATTTAAGGAGATAATTGCTAAAAATAGCATTGCCGGCAATGGGGCAAACATTTAGTACTTTATATTCTTCAGGTAAGCGTTTGTCCCATCCAAAATTACGTTTCCATAGCGACTACATTAGTATCTTAGCATTCACTGTCACGGGACTAAGTATGCCAAGCGTATCAAAGATTTTAGAAGACTGGCGTAATATTTTTGTTTTGTTACATCTGCCATGGTTGAATCTATGTCTACTTTTGCAACTTTTCCGCTACATTCCAGTGCATTCCAAGTATGTTGACCTCATTACTTGAATCTAGTACGTTTTCTGTGTCAGCAAGTTGTCGTAGTCTGTTAGAATTAGAATTCCATGATCTGAGATTAAATCCTCCTTTCTGTAATAAACACCTGGAATCACGGTAAAATTGCATTAAGTCGTCTTCATCAGTAAAACTAGTTAAAACATTGTCTACGTACAAGTCTTGTGTAATTCTTGAAGCTGTTGGACTAGGATTCTCTTCAAAGTGTTTTAATAAAGTTGCATTCAGTATAAAAGGTGAGCATGTAGCTCTGAATAAGACTGATTTGAAACGATAAGTTGTAAACGGACTGTTTGTATCTGTCTGGTCACTTAACCAAAAGAAGCGAGTTACATCGATCACGGTCAGATTTATGAAGTCCAACTTGCAGAAATGCCTTTTCAATATCTGTTGTCACTGCAAACTTCTGAGTACGAAATCTGGTAAGTATCTCTGTTATATCATTTGAAATTGGTGGACATGAATGAAGACAGTCATTCAAACTTAGACTTTTTGCGTTCTCTTTACAACTGCAATCATTCACAATTCTAATCGGAGTAGTTGTAGAATCTCTTTTGACTGGGTGATGCGGTATGTAGTGTATGCGCTGTGGTTCGTCCTCATTCTCTCCTATCTTTTTGATGAAACCACGTTTTTCCTGCTCTTTAATTATGTCGCCAAAGATTTTAAATAAGTTTGGTTCCTGATTTAAGCGATTAACGACTCTATGGGTCCTTGCTCTTGCAATCATCTCGTTTGTCGGTAATTCAGGGCATTCTTCAATCCAGGGAAGTTTTGCCACGTACTTTCCATCCTCATATGTTATCAATGTTGATGAAAATTGTTTGATGTGTTGTTTCTTCGTGTTAAGTTTGTCGTTTTCTTGTATACCAAAGGACTTCAATTTCCAAAACCTTTCAATATCATAGTCCTCTTTTGTGTGACTAGATGATATATGCATAATGTGTGAATTGCGTTGTCCTCTGGTACATGTAAGCGGTCCAGATAACAAATATCCTATTTTCGAGCTCATCGCTGTCGGTCCGTCGCCTCGAACGATATCATCCTTGATTAAATCCCAGTAGTGGTTTGCTCCAATGAGTAAAGAAATTTCAAAGCTATTATCCTCTGTTAACGGGTGGGCTAGTTTTAGTCCCTTCAAATAATGTAGTTGCTGTGAAATGTACCTGTGATTATTCTGGATCGGCGCTGCTATGGTAGGTACAATCAATACATGTAAAGGTATTTTCTCACCTGAGTCTGCTTCTAAATACACTGTGGCTTTATTCATGTGGCGAACATTCTTGTCTGAATTTCCAAAGGCGGATATGTTGAGGGTTTCCTTTGTGTCTGGCTTGACGTTCAATTCGTCGGCTATTTCCTGCGTCATAAATGATCGTTGCGCTCCTTCGTTGAAAAGAGTATTAGAGTTGGCGGACTGATTCTTAGACCATATGGGAGCTATTGCGGTTTTCAAGAAGACTGTCGATTTTTTCCTGTTTAGCGGATGTATGCATGATTGGCGTGCCATTTTCTGTATTACTTGTAATATTCTGACTCTGTGATTTTTGAATTGAAGATTCATTGCACAAACTTGTGTGGTGCTTACGTTTACATGTACGACATGAGTTTTTCGACCTACATTCTGATATTTTATGGTTACCCAAACAATTGAAACATAGGTTTCTCTTCTTTACAATCTCCATTATTGATTTGCTATCGATAATTTTTTACATTCTGCAGGGAAATGTTGATCATTGCAATAAATGCACATTTTACTTTGAAAATAGTTTTTAGATTTTGATTTATTTACGTAATTCCCATTTTTCTTACCAATTCTGGCATGTTTTGCTATCGATAGGGATAACATTTGTTTCACTCCCATTAGTGCTGGCTTCTTGAATCGATATTTCCTGTTGTATTGCCTTTCTAAGATTTCCAAGGGTCCAGTCGTCGTTTCCGCTTTCTCTTGGTATATTACTTTTTACGGTAATAGGGAGCTTACCAAGAATAACTGGGATCAACAGGGAACCATACATATCTTGGCACTGTCCTAAAGATTCCAATCCACGGATATAGACCTCTGACTTATCAGAAAAATTACGGAGACTATCTAATGTGTATGAGGGTGCTGGCAGATCTAAAAGTGCTTTCATATATGCGTTTACAATTTTATGTGTTTTCCCAAAGCGATTTACTAATAATTCTACGGCTTTGTGGTAATTTGCGCTTGACAAGTTCAAACCATTTATGACATTCATAGCGTCTGCATCAAGAAGTGACTGCACATCAGTTAGAGTATGATTACTGTGAATGGTGGTTTCAAACGACTCCCAAAAAGTATTGCCACTCAAGAATATCCCCAGAAAAAGTAGGTAGGGTAAGCTTCGGCAAGTGGTGGTTTTGACTTGACAGTGAACTAGTTTGTGACGAAAATCTTGGGATGAATTCTGTGTTCATTACAAGACGGGTTTCGGGATTGATTTCATGCATGTTCATGATAGGGCGTGTGCTTGGGATACACTTTCATGAGATAATTCTGTACATGTACGTGTAATTTTTTGTGCTAACTTCTTATAACGGCGTAAATGTGTTTCAAGTTCTAAATTATACTCATCTGCATCTGTGATTTCAACTTCTATATCTTCTTCCTAGGTATTTTCCAAGATCTGTTCATCCAGTTTAAGAATAACACTTTGTTTTTTCACTATAGTGTCAATAATTTGACCTGCAATGTCAATATCCATCTCCTAATCAGTGTTCAACTCATCTAGTTTCTTGAAGAATTTCGTGACAGCGGCTCTATTTCCAGCTCGAAAAGACTTGATTCTCATCGAATCCATCTTTTATCCTGGTCTCGGTACCATATCTCTTGATCATATAATTGTAGAATTCGTTGTGTTATGAAGTGAGAAAAAGACGTCTATACAAATGAATGATTTAATGCTGGAATCCAAAGACGTTAACACATAGCAACCATGAAGTTACATATAGACAGCGCTAACGCGTATCAGCACAAATATGATTCCCGCAGTAATGTGATAGTCTCTATTTATCCTCGACAAGATAGATCTTAACCTGATGAACATTTTTACCCATTGTCAGATTTGCTCTAAATGCTTTAGTTTCAGAGATATAAGTCAAAAACGGCTTTTTTACCCCTATGTTCTACTTTTAGCCATGTCGGCCATGTTGGTTTGCAGGCGGGGTCATCCAACACATTTTTTGAACGAGATACCCCAATGATGATTGTAGCCAAGTTTGGTTATATTTGGCCCAGTAGTTTCAGAGAAGATTTTTGTAAAAGTTAACGACGGACGACGACGGACGCCAATTGATGAGAATAGCTCACTTGGCTCTTTGGTGCCAGGTGAGCTAAAAATGGATTGAACAACAAATCATAGTTATTTATCTCATTGCATTAAACAGAGGTATTAAAACCAACCTGTCAGTGAATCTAATCCAGTTTTTGTCCACGATTGTCTCTCAATACTGGTCACCATCTCATTACACTGTGTCAGTTGGTATGTAGTATATACATTTCTGGTACCAGTCATGAAGTTAATCTCTGTACAACAGTCTACAGTGTGACAATCACTGGACATTTTACATCCAGGTAAGGATGACACTGGAGCTGGTACATCAGTACAACCTTTACAAATATATGTATTGAATATGTATTGCCTTGATGATAATGACACAATAATTTATTTGTTGTTTCATTTATCGGTTAACTTAAAAGATTCACATTCAACCTGAAAGCCTGCAGCTTCTTTAATAAGAATGGCTCACTACCCATGCATCTAGGGATGGGATGGATAAAGAATATTGATAGCTGACATTCCAACAATTTGTTATTAGTAGCCATCGAACACATCATTACTGTCTTGAACATTAAATTTGGTACAGGTTGTATTCTTAGTTAAACCTGTCTGTGTAGGCAGACATTTTTTAATTTTTGGCAGAAAAATTTCTATTCCCACCCACCACTCCCTATTTGTTATGTGAAAAATCTTTTAACACATTGCATGTTATTTTAATAGTTTCCTTTATTGCATGATTTTATTTTTGTTTATTTTAATGTGTAGTTATCGTAGTTTTGTGTTTTCTATTGGAGTACCACAGATTTTTTAAAGACTGTTTGTGCAAAATGAAAATATTATTGTTTCATTGTTAATTGTCTTTATATATGATGCAAAGATTAATTAAACTGTGGTTATTCGCCCAAACCTGTATTATGTTTTCCCCAACCTATAACTATGTGGTTATACATAGCAGTAGGAGTATGAGACTCTATTCAGCTTGGTTCTTGCAGTGGCTGTTTAGGATCTGATCTTGCTTCCAACCATGTGATAGCACCCCACCATTTATGAGTTCACAATAGTTGTCACACATACACACTACACTTGAAGGGGGAGGGGTCCACTTCCGTAGTGTGCACGAATTAATGTGTTCATATTATTTAAATGAAGTATTAATATAGGGGGAACTTGCTCTCCTTGCTTTAAATTGTTTCAGTTATTGTGTCATTTATGTAGATCTAATGAACTGCTAATTATTTTTGGGCCAGGTAAGTTAAGAAAAACTTTTAGCTGTACAGGGACAGCTATCATTACAAACCATTCAGAAAGTTTCCACTGTAAATTGTGCATTGAGATGGTTTCCAAAACTCAAAAGCCAATCCTGAAACACATAAAACAATGAATAAAAAAACTCTGATTCATAAGATCTTATTTTGTACCGAAACACTTGAAAATCAGCTAAATTTATTTTTTAATTAATTCATTCTGAAATATCTCATTTATCTTCAAATTCTATTCAAAACTGAGTGAAATCATTTAAGGATCACTTCCATTTGAAATAAAATATTTACCACCCTATGAATAAAGAAATACCAGTTTTATTGTTTCAAAACTTTTCAATGCATTCTTTTGATCAAATTTGATCTAATTTTTATAAAATTCCTTTTTTCTCTCTTGAAATAAACTGTTATAATTTCTTTTACCATTTCCCAACATGTATCAATAGACTACTGAAATCAGAAAATTTGATGTCAAAATACAAGAGATTTTTACCCTTTTATCCAAACACCCAATTTTAATTTTTAATTGGGAAAAATTCACCACAAATTTTAAGAGCATTTTGAAAAAGGGAAAACTGTGAAATTTTATCATTTATTTCAATTTTATGTTTTGAACTGAAACCGTTGAGAAATGATTAAAAAGACCTTCAGTTATCAGAATCAACATTGAATAAGAACATTTGCATGCCTTGTCAAATTTACAGGGTTGATTTCAAGAGTTTTCCAATTAATTGATTTCAATCTTCCTTAATAAAATTAAAATGTTACCAGTTGTAATTTCTAAGAACAACATTTGAAGATTTTTTTGAAGAAACCATAAACACTTGCAATGGAAATATGTCTTGATGAACCTGAACTCTTTAGTTCAGTATAGAATTCCACTATGCCATGTTTGATGTCACTTGTTTTTCAGTTGTTTAAGAAAACCTGTCAACCATTATTTTTAGTTGTTGCAAGAAGGTTTTGTGACTTTTAAAAGTAGAAAAAGCTCTACAAAGACATAAATGTTATGTGATTACAGCTATTCATTTTATTTGTTGTTCCCATTAAAACTAGAACTTGCCTCCAAATGGAACTGTCAAAGAATTATTACAGTCAGCATACATGAAATCAGCATTGTTTAGAACAGTATATTCTTTCAGACATTTGTTGTCCTTAGCTTCAAAACAGAGTCTGATACTGGCATCTACCAAGAACTTTCTCTCTGAAGGAATGTTGTATATAGTAAACCTGTAATATAGGAGTAATGTTAACATTAGATCAATCACATCCTTAGAATATTATACATTTTGTACAAAAGTTTCCTTGATCATTAGGCCAATTTCCTTTTCAGATTAATCTGCACATGTTAAATATGGTATTTGATTTAACATATGGGAACCTCTTTTTTGCATATATGTATATATACCCCTACATAGTGAGAGGTATAATAATTGACAAGGCGGAATATTGAAACTAATTTGTTTCATCTCAATTTTTTATACAAAATAATTCCTATATGCACTGACCTGAGTTGGAAGACACCATGAAGCTGTACATTTTCAGTTTTACCTGAAATCAAAAAAAGGTTTGAAGAGAAAGAAAGTGGTTTTTGTAAAATTCTATTGTTTTCCATTAATTTCTCACATGTTGCAAAGGTTAATCAAAAGAACTAAAGATCTTATCTGTTTTCTAGTGAAATCAATATTAAACCCTTCAGGAGCACCTAAGATCACCCCTGGTTTGTGGTGGGGTTTGTATTTGTCAGTCTTTGGTTTTCTATGTTGTGTTTTGTGTATTGTTGTTTGTCTGGTGAAAATAAGGTGATTTTTGTCAAAGAAGGAGATTTTGACCTTCTTGGCCAATGGCAGGTCCAAAAAGGGAGTTTTCAAATTTTTAAAGGTAAAGGAGGGAGTCTCCCTCCAACAACTTGCATGTTTACAGGTACGTACTACATACCCCATTGGTAGTTGAAAAGGTTGATTTCATGGTGTAGATTTTCTATCCTCACAGTCAGTCTATAAGTACAGGAATCCAGAGTAAGACTGATCTGTAGAGATCTTTTTAGAATATCAACCTTCACACAGCAAAATATTTCAGACTGAGTTGGTGATATATAACATGTTATCTCTTCTGGTAAGAATGGCAGTGTCACATTATTAGAAGTCTCTAAAAAGAGAAAATTAAGGAAATGTAACAATTAGTTTCTGATAGGAAAATGTCTTCTCTTTGCCTTCTGTGCATTGGAAATATAAGAAAATCCAAACAAACATTGTTCTATCATCTCAATTATTATACATGGCTCCCTGATTCTGTGTTGTTTGTTTATCAAGGTCACAGTCAGTAAACTTCGACAGCAAAACCTGAAAGTTAATCAGCAACAAACTTTTCGACAAATAATCATCAAATGAAATACGTTTTGTCAATATACATTATAAATTCAAAATAAATGTAAAAATCGTGCACAGAGGACTTATTTAGGTACATGCATGTATTGGTTCAATATTTTTCTTCAATCATACACACCAAAAACTCTATATGAATGAATGAATGAATCTTTATTGCAAAAGCATAAACATGCTATGGCAAAGTTAACAACATATATTACATAATATAAACCATGAATAGACAGCAGAGATTAATAGTATAATACAATGACATATAAAGTTATGAGACTATATTAGATCGAATATTCCATGCAGCTTTTACATAATGACTTAATTTGATCGTAAGAGACTTTATTAAAATCAAGATAAAATAAAACTGCTGACACAAAGATGTCATTTTTATGATTTTCATGGCTTAATTTACCATTCAGTTGTCGATCCTCAGCATCCATGTAAGGAGAAGTGGTCAAGTTACATTTGTCAGAGAAGTCCATGTAGTCTGGTAATCCTAACACCATTAATAAATCATTGGCCACAACATCAGAGATATTGGAGTTCAGTGTCAATCCTCGGTATCCTAACCAAGTATCTATTGAAAACTCTGAAATATAACAAATAAATGATTGGCCACAACATCAGAGATAGTGAAGTTCAGTGTCAGTCCTCGGTTTCCTAACCAAGTGTCTATTGAAAACTCTGAAATATAACAAATAAATCATTGGCCTCAACATCAGAGATAGTGGTGTTCAGTGTCAGTCCTTGGTTTCCTAACCAAGTGTCTATTGAAAACTCTGAAATATAACAAATAAATTATTGGCCATAACATCAGAGATAGTGGAGTTCACTGTCAGTCCTCGGTTTCCTAACCAGGGGTCTATTGAAAACTCTGAAATATAATAAAGTATTTTCAATAAATTCAACAAAGAATGTCATCCTTCTGAACATGTAGGTCAGCATATGTTGAAATATCATTTATAGAATATTTAATTCAAGAATTTGAATGTTGAAAAATATCCAGTGACAGAACAACACTAATGAATGTCTCATTGGCAATCATACCACATCTTCTTTTTTATATATATGTAGTGCATGACCGTATTTTCAGTGTTGGTTGGTCATGGGTTGACAAAACCACTTGTTGCATGACCTCAGAGGAGTGAAATTACATGATTTATTTCACATGTGAAACATTGGTTTTTATTTTACTGGGAAATCAGGTTATCTAATTGCAACCATGTAATGATGTGGAAAAAAATGTCTCATAAACCAAGATGGTTTCTAATTATTCTATCTAACCTACTCGAAGAGACCGACCTGAATCAAGGAATCCAGCTGCCAATTCACACATGGTCTTATCAATCAATGTATCTGTCCAAAGGTGTATATTATAATCACATGGTTGTGTATCTGTGTAGCATATTGACATATTCATGTCTACTTTATACTGGTCATCTAAGTCCACTATTTCATACCTGGAAAAAAAGAGATGTTTTCATTTACATATTAGGCATCTCACATCTCTTGTAGAACATTTGTACTTCTTTACGATCACATCAATATCAACTTTTTAGTTGCAAAACAAAAAGCAAAACATATAAAAAGTTGACGAACAATTTCAAAAAACTTTCTAAAATTCTCTCCATCGTGAATAGATTTAAAATAATAGGCAAAAACACAAGTAAATTGGTAAATATTGTCCTTTAAGGGCAATAACTCTTATTAGGAGTCAACTGAGGATTTCCGCAATTTTGACTTATAAGTAGATCTTGTCTCATTTTTGCTTTTTAAAGTTTCTAATTATCTATTATTTTATTTTTCAAGATAATAGGCAAAAATGAAAAAAAATGGGTAAAATTTGTCATTTAAGGGCAATTGCTCCTACAATTTGTCCGACAGTTTTGATGTATAAAGACATAGATCTCATCATTCTGAACATTTTTGTCTGAGTCTGATTTTCTCTATCAATAGTGGTTTTCAAGATGATAGACAAAACTTGCATCTATTTTTAGCCATGTCGGCCACAAATTTTAAACTAGATACCCCAATGACGATTGTGGCCAAGTTTGGTTAAATTTCGGCCAGGTGAACTACAAATAATCTAAGATTCCATTGTATTGAGTAGAACATTTTTTTCCTTTAACCTGAAAAGTCTAAATCCATTTGGAAATTTTAAAGGTCTGAGTAGAAGAAATGACCTGTTCAATAGGAAATATTGTAGTTAAAAGGCGGTATAGATAAACACATCAGATGTAGTAATCCAGCAACAATTAATATCCAAATATGGCCATTTACAATCAAATTTCATAATTTTTACAACATGGAAATTATAAAGATAACAAAAATACTTACATGATGTTTACAATACCAAACAAAGAAAATGTGTGTTCCTTTTCTGTAAATAAATAAATAAGTATTAAAGTACAGAGAGTGAGATCACAAAACATAATATCTGCTCAAATTCAACTTAGGATGCAAAGTCAATTATCTCCCCTCCCTGCTTGGGTTTGGGGTGGAGGTGGGGAGGGTGCACTTACTATATAATGATATGGTAGGGAAGAGATGCAGGAATAGGTCACTATTTCAATCTGCATGATATATGATAAGGTCAAGAAATTGAGATGAAATATATGACAAAGTTGCTGATTGAATAGTAAGTATTTGAAACATCATATTTTTTTTCACAGATGCTATTAACACCACAGTTGTAAATTGTACCCATCGCTCTGCTACACTCAACATCAGATAAAAATTTCTAAAAATTACAGCCTTTTGCCAGAGAAATCTCCAATCAACCATCATCAAAAGTGTTGAAGGTTGTATCTTAATGAAATTGTTTATACACATCTACCTTTTTGTATATGAACACTGAAAAAAATGAAAATAACACTTATATACATCAGAAGTGCGTTACTGGATTTACCATCACCAGGAAGGCTACACCCCCCAAAAAGTAAAGGTTCATAACATACTTCCAAATTTTACCAATAGCCACTTACCAAATACAAACTGATTTAATTTGAAATTTGTTGTTTGCTGTCCAATCTGTAGTTGTAATGTATTTCTACAATCGTCTATCATAAGAACAACCGCTACAGACTTGTTTAGGCTAGGCAGATCAACACAGCATTTTATACCATCACAAGATGATGGCATTGAACAGGACAACCAGTCAGGTAGATCTGGCACTGATAAACTACAATCTGTAAAATACAATTGGCTATGTGCACTTAGTTTAACACTACAGGAAGTTCAATACAGCATTCAGTACTATCACTGGCTGATAATACATAACAGAACAGGTAGGTCTCATGCTGATAAAGATTATTTTCAACAACCTTTTTTAATTTCATCACATTAAAATAAACTAATTTCCTTGTATCCAACAGAAAATATTCTTTAAGGTATCTTTAATAACCATTAATTAAATGTTGGTGATGTGTTAACGTTTTTAGAAAATAATTTAAGTCATAGGTTTTCCTCAGAAGAAAAAAAAAAGCAACTTTCACAGATTTCTACTAGAAGATTGATGTGTGGAAAGTTTCCAATGTTTGCCTTAGTCATTAACCTGATTTGCATAGAACATTTAGGTATACTTTATTAATCATGTGCCCAATTATGTTTTTGATATCATAATTTCACATATACATTTGAAATCTGAACAGAAACAGAAACATTTTTAACCCACTTTTTAATTAATTTAAAATATAATTTTTTCCAGCTGACTGTAGCCAATTTTCATCTCTATGCTTATGCAAGTAGCTTTAGCTATTCAGAATATGTAATTGATTGTTCCTTACTTACTGTCCAGTGACACATTCTGAAAACGATTGTTCCTTACTTACTGTCCAGTGACACATTCTGAAAACGATTGTTCCTTACTTACTGTCCAGTGACACATTCTGAAAACGATTGTTCCTTACTTACTGTCCAGTGACACATTCTCAATACTTGTATCATTAGTAATTGTTTGAAAGAAAAAAAATTTCTACAATTCCTTTTTCACAATTTCTTTTTTAATTGTAGACAAACAACAAATATTCTCTTTATATTTCAAACAAGTATTTTTTCAAGGAAACAGACCTGAACTTGTATCCAGCAGAACACCAGAGCAGGAATTGTCTGAAACAAATCTGGATATACCCCACATCTGCATCAGCTGTAGAACTGACCATTGTGGTAAAGGATCAACATTTTGTAATAGACCATTCTCACTCATCCAGGACTCCATACTAAAGTCTAAAATATATAATGAGTTACTTTAATAACAGCAACCTGTTTGATGTCTTTTGGTTTTTTGTGTTGTTAGGTTGCTTTCTAATTCACATTTATCCAACAGCTCTGTTTAGCATGGTGGATTTTATATTTTCTGTCCAATATTCACGCTTTATATCAGATTGCTCTTTGTATCAATTAAGGTTCATTAATCTAGCAGGCTCTTTCAGGTAAAATATTCAACAAAAATCTTAAAGGGTTCAGCAGAACCCTGTGTCTCCCCTGTGATTGCTGCTATCAGTGAAAAGTGAAATGTTGATTGAAAAAAAACTAAGTCGACCATATCAGTAAAATACAGAAAAAATACAAGAATAAAACTTCTTTCTTCAGATGCTATTTCTTGATCTTGGAGAAACTTACTTCCACTCTCAAAACATTCCATGAAGGTTTAACAAAGTTAGTGATGTCTAAAAAATGTGATCCCAGACTGTATGTAATTGTTAACTGCAAAACTACTTAGTCCATTTACAGTAAAATACGGATAATTAACATTGGCCTACCACTTATGGTTCCCCTTGAACTGAGCTAATCACAAACTAATGTAAACTATGAAAAGTTTCAAAGTCAATAGACCTTGACTGAGGGGGCGGGGCCAAATAATCTCCATTGTAATGAGATGTGTCAATGCTAATACAACTGCATACCAAATATCATTGACCTACCACTAGTGGTTCACCATGAACTAGACCTAATCACAAACTAATACATTGTTGTTGCCGCTGCCGCTGCTGGAAACAGCATACCTATGTCTCGCTGTTTGACTACGTCAAGGAGAGACAAAAACTTCAACCAAAGTTTGAACTGTAATGTTGACTGCAGATGAATGAATAAAGGATCTTTATGTCTTCCTTCCACTACAAATTGATGAAGTCTCAACAAAAATGAAACCTTTAGCATAATGAAAAATCAGTTATTAATAAAAAAACAGAGAATATCTAATTTTACAAAAAAGGTCTGAAATTTCTCTTGATCATAATTGAAAATCTTATAACATATGTCAACAGAAATTTAATGTTGTTTCTCTAATACATTTCTTTCTTCCCTTTTTTATAGGAACAGGAGTGCACACACACTGAAATGCATCGCCTACTTTACTTCCATTGATTTTATGTTGATAGCTCTAAATATAAAGTTTAACTACAGGTATCACATTAACTTATGATGATCCAGGACAATTAGGTCAAGGTCAGATAAACCAAGCCAGAAATACATGTACACCTTACAATCATTCCATACATTGAATATAGTTGACCTATTGCTTATAGTATACAAGAAACAGACCAAACCATGAAAACATTATATTGACCAATGAACCATGAATATGAGGTCAAGGTCAGATGAACCCTGTCAGACAGACTGTCCTGCCTGTTGTCTGCTCTATGGTCAGGTTGTTGTCTCTTTGACACATTCCTCATTTCCATTCTCAATTTTATGTACACTTTACAATCATTCCATAAACCAAACATAGTTGACCTATTGCTTATAGTTTAAGAAAAACAGACCAAAACACAAAAACTTAAAATTGAGCAATGAACCATGAGAATGAGGTCAAGGTCAAATAAAACCTGCCAGACTGACATGTACATCACAAATTATTTCCATACACCAAATATAGCTGACCTATTGCATACAGTATTAGAAAAATAGACCAAAACACAAAAACTGAACTTTAACCACTGAACCATGAAAATGAGATCAAGGTCAGATGAATCCTGCCAGACAGACATGTACACTTTACAATCATTCCGTACACCAAACATAGTTGACCTATTGTTTACAGTTTAAGAATCAAAGCACGAAAGCGCTGTAAAGGCAGTTAATTACAGGTTGTGTGTATTTTAAGTCCAGTTATATCATTATCTTGCATAGTACAGTGTACTTATCAGAGGTGGCTTTCAGTATTTAAGATTTAGAGTTCTCTAATGATATTGAATAAGTTTTATGAATGTCATATTCTGAGCACTATATGAAGGCGATTGTTCTCACTTGTTTATGAACTAGTGCATTATGTCCAGTTTGTACCTTTTTTATCTATGTTTATAGTCAAATTAGTTATCAAAGGTACCAGGATTATAATTTAATACGCCAGACGTGTGTTTCGTCTACATAAGACTCATCAGTGACGTTCAGATCAAAATAGTAACAAAGCCAAACAAGTACAAAGTTGAAGAGCATTGAGGACCCAAAATTCCAAAAAGTTGTGCCAAATACGGCTAAGGTAATCTATTCCTTGGATAAGAAAATCCTTAGTTTTTTCATTGGCAATCATAACACATCTCCTTATTTATATAATGATCTATATTCAACGACATCAGGTACAAAAAAAATGTATGTAACTAAACTATGATGGGAAACCTTTTGACTTCTTTCTTTATATAAACTTTTGATTTGGTACCATAGAACTATGTAGAGTAAATGTACATTGCAACATGTCAACTCTTTCAACTCCAAGCAAAATTATATTTCCAAGCATAAAGTAATTTATGAAGGAAATAAAATGCTCCGCTGGGGCGCAGCTTGATACGACCGCAGAGGTCGAACCCTGAACAGTTGGGGCAAGTATGAACACAACATTCAAGCTTGATTCAGCACTGAATTTGGATTGTAATTAAATATTTGACACAGCATAGGTTTCTGACACAGAATGAAAGTGGTCTAAGATACTTAAAAAAATTTAATTTACCTATTCAAACCATATCATTATTATTTGCTTTTATATATAAATCAGAAATAACCAATTTAAAATGGAAAATTTTAAAGAAAAAAAAGGAAAAAGAATCCCCCCCCAAATTTTTTGAACCCCCTTATGATTCATCACCCCAAAACTCAATCCCAGCCTTCCCTTTGTGGTATGGTACCTTGCAGTACAATTTCAGAGAGATCCATACACTTGAACACATGTTATTGTCTGGAAACTAGAAAAATGCTTGTTTTTTTGGCCCCTTTTTGGTCCCAAATTCCTAAACGTTTAGGGCAATTACCCCCAAACTCAAACCCAGCTTTCCCTTTGTGATATGGAACCTTGTAATACAATTTCATAAAGATCCATACACTTACACACAAGTTATTGCCATGAAACTAGAAAAATGCTTGTTTTTTGCCCCTTTTTGGCCCCTAATTCCTAAAATTTGGAGGCAATTACCCCCAAAATCAATCCCAGCATTCCCTTTGTGATATGGAACCATGTGATACAATGTCAGAGAGATCCATAGACTTACACACAAGTTATTGTCATGAAACTAGAAAAATGCTTGTTTTTTGCCCCTTTTTGGCCCCTAATTCCTAAAATTTGGAGGAAATTACCCCCAAAATCAATCCCAGCATTCCCTTAGTGGTATGGTACCTTGCAGTACAATTTCAGAAAGATCCATACACTTGAACACAAGTTATTGTCTGGAAACTAGAAAAATGCTTATTTTTGGCCCCTTATTCCTAAACTTTTTGGGCAATTACCCCCAAACTCAATTCCAGCTTTCCCTTTGTGATATGGAACCTTGGAGTACAATTTCATAAAGATCCATACACTTACACACAAGGTATTGCCATGAAACTAGAAAAATGCTTGTTTTTTGCCCCTTTTTGGCCCCTAATTCCTAAAATTTGGAGGCAATTACCCCCAAAAATTCAATCCCAGCATTCCCTTTGTGATATGGAACCTTGTGATACAATGTCAGAGAGATCCATAGACTTGCACACAAGTTATTGTCATGAAACTAGAAAAATGCTTGTTTTTTGCCCCTTTTTGGCCCCTAATTCCTAAAATTTGGAGGCAATTACCCCCAAAAATCAATCCCAGCATTCCCTTTGTGATATGGAACCTTGTGGTACAATGTCAGAGAGATCCATACACTTACACACAAGTTATGTCTGGAAGTTACAAAAATGCTTATTTTTGGCCCCTAATTCCTTAACTGTTGGTACCATAACCCCCAAAATCAATCCCCACTTTCCTTTTGTGGTATTGAACCTTATTTAAAAATTTCATTGAGATCCATTCACTTAAACTAAAGTTAGAGTGCGAAAACTAGTGTGTTTTCGGACGACAACGCCGGACGACGACGACGCCAACGTCATACCAATATACGACCACAAAATTTTTTTTTGCGGTCGTATAAAAAGGAGTTCTTAATTAAGAAATAAACTGATTCGCTGAGCGCAGCTGGATACACCCGCAGAGGTACTACCCTGAACAGCTTGGGCAAAAATGGACACAATATTCAAGCTTGATACAGGTCTGAATTTGGATTGTAATTAAATATTTGACATATTATAGTTTCTGAATAAATGTAGTCAATGAACTTGAAATTGGTTATATGAATTGAATTTATATTCAATTAAAGATTTCTTGCTGTTGTGCAATACACTGTGCTGTTGTGCAATACTTAATAAATCTGTTGCCAGACTATAAACAAATAAAGTTCAATTTCTTCTCAATGTCATATTTGAAATTTATGAAAATCAATAGGGAGATTACATCAATAGCTATAAATAATTCACCAAAGTTTCATGTGAACTACTTAAAGCATTTTTGAGTTGTTGTCCAAAAACTGGAAAATCCCCCATTTTTTAATGAATAAAACCCCATAACTCAGAAATGTAAAATCTAAAATTTATAAAATTCTAAAGGGAGCTTACGGATTGATAATTAAGTCTTAGATGCAAGATTTTTTTATCAGTTGTTAGTGGCTTTGAACTAGCTGTCAGTAACTGCGAGTACTCTCAGATTTGTACTTAGTGTCTTTTTGTTGTTTGGATGTACAACTACCCGACCACGTCCACTTGTATTTGTATTTATCCATCTGATGAGTTTAGCCTCTTTCAACTGATTTTTATAGTTCTTTCTTATATTGTACTGTTACACCACTGTCCTAGGTTAGATGGAGGGTTGGGATCCCTCTAACATGTTTAAGCCCGCCACATTCTGTATGTACATGTATGTGCCTGTCCCAAGTCAGGAGCCTATA